ATATAATGTATATATAAAAAATATAATTCTAAATATTTTGCATTTAAAATTTATTTGATGTATGTTTTTCACATTTTCTATACATAAGATGTTATATGCGTATAGCATACAATAACTTTGTATGTTTATATATTTCTATTAAATACACCATTCTTATTTTGTATCCATGAACATCTGTTAAATTTTAAGTATTTTATTAAGTTTATTCAAAAAATAAAGCTCTTTAAGGAACCTTTAATGAAATTTATTACTATTTAATGAATACTGCAGTTCACTTTTAAGTTAACTTAAAAGGGTAGAATTAAGTACAGTATCTCGGAGTAATTATTAATAAACCGATAGTTAAAAGTTTATTAAACAACTAGAAACAAATTTATTCTTAGAAATAATGTTTTAAACAACAAAATTACTTTTCTTTAAATAAAACCAATAATCTTACTATTTAAAAAACGCTAAAATTTTTCAGGACACGTAATAATGTGTAAACACATTTCCAAAAACTAACGTTTATACGTAGCATTTAAATTTTTACAAAAAGCGCAAATCATTATTTGAATACATCAGTATTAATATAAGATGTAATTTAAGAAAGTATTTCGCTTACAAGAATATAACGCTTTTTTTCAATTTTTACATTTTCTGTAAAAAAATACATTATTATTGATCATGGCATTAATTATTAACATACAAACAAAAATAAGTGTTATAAGTAACTTACAATAAGTATTTGAGGTTTTACCTTAATTTGGTTGTTTTAACAGTACATTCTTTAAGTAATAAAAAAAGTGCACGATAAATGTATCGGAAAGAATCTTCCAGTTTCTTAAAGCAATGACCACAACAAATGTAGCGAGTAGAAATAATTGTATAACGTCGAGAAAATTTTTTGTTTAAGACATAATTTTAAAGAATCGAAGACATTTCAGTTTTTTGCACGGTCACGAATAATGGTTCCGTTCTTTTACGTAAGTGCAGCTAAAAATATTTAGCTTTTTAATTTTAATCATGTATTATCTTACGACATGCAGATATGTACATACAATTGCTAGTAATTATCAATTGTAAAACTGGTAATTACTGTGGCAGTATAGGGAAGTGACAGTATAAAAATTTTAATATATTCAATTCAATCATTATAAATGATGATTTACCGCTTTTGTTAATCTGTGTCCATACTTGATGAAATTATTTTGTGCACAAGCGTACCTATAGTTACACAAAACTAGAATATGCTGTGGCATTATCAGTAATCATTTTATTTGGTAGTTTGTTAGTTACTAAAACACAAACTTATATATGCACTTTCTTTGTAAAATAATATTCAGGATTTTGTGCAAATGCAGAATAATTACAATAAAACAACTTGAAAGAAATAAGCACCAAAGTTTTAAAAGCAAACGTTTCTGTAAACTTATTAAAATGCATTTATGATCAATAGGTGTCTAGTTTTCTATAATTTTATATTGACTTGATACTAATTTTTGTATTTTGACCTGATGATTCAACTAACATATATATATTTTTCAGCTTAAAATTATCTTAAAGCATATAGAGCACTTTGTTAACTTCAATAATACATCTGTGATAGAATTATATGTAACACTGATTCAATTAAAATGTATTTATTTGAAGCAGTATTTACCTAAATTACTGTATCAAAATAAAGAATGCAAGTATTAAATATATCACAATTAAACTTGGGTATTGATACACTGATAGCTTTGAAACACGTATGTCATGGAAATGCCAGGCAACCAATAACCACAGAAACAAGACAAATTTTAATTGCTCAATGTGCAATTTTTATAACTGTTAAGCTATATGTAGTCTAAATATAAAATCAAGAAAGCATTGCACTTCATAGAATTAGTTGTATCTTATTAAAAACATTTAACTAAAATAATATCAACACAGAAGTAAAAAGAATAAAGAATTTTTGTACATATTTTTGTTTGTATTAACTTCAACATTACATATCTCATATTTTTACATAGATTTGTTTTTTATGACTTAAGCGTTACCGATCTATCAATGAACTTAAAAAAAAAAAAAAGAACTGCATGGCATTTTCACAAATTTATGTGATTTTAGTTATAAAATATCAAAAACTACCGAGTAAAAATTGACTATAGTTAATCTATCTTTATAACAATCTATCCAGTAAATTGCAATGCATTGAAATCTTAACCTGAATTCTGACTATTTTCATTATTTTAAAAGAAAGCAATATCTCAAACATGATTTCTAATAAGTATACTTCAAATATTGTCGTTGTATTTGAATTATTTAACTTTCTTCAAGTTGTTTAGCTCATTTGTTCTTGTGCACGGAATACTCTTCATATTGTAAGACATTTAACATTTTCTCAATTGTAGTACCTTCTTAAGTTTTTAACAACAGACTATGTTGCTGTGAACAAGAAATCTTATGCTAAATGTGTGAAGGAAAAGCAAATTGTTCATATTATAGTAACAGTAAATATTGTTTCGGTAAGAATGTACAGTCAAAGTTTTATTGACTCAAATGTTGACTGTAGCTATAGGTTTATAGGAAGTACTGCAAGCTTACCATCATTCAAAAAGTTTTCAGTCTTTGTAAATTTAATCACTGAATATATTCTTAAGGTCGTGCTCATAGAGCGCTATAATTAACATTATTCCAAGGCCACACGATAGCCCTAGTGCTTGTAAAATACATTGCCATTGAGAACTACGTTCTACAGAGTGACTCGAAGATAACTCTGGAATCTGAAACAAAAACAAATGTACTGGTCGACTGTAGATATAATTAAATTAATAAACAAAAGGATACACCACATACCATATCTACTAATGCTATATATATAAACATTCCTGCAGCAGCTGCAAACATCCAACTACTCACAGCAGGAGTACTCCCTAATAATACACCAAAGATCATACCGAACAAACAAAGTACGGAAGATAACAGATTATAAAAAACAGCCTGTTTAGCGCTCATACCGGCTTTTAATAAGACTGCGAAATCTCCTATTAAAAAAAAAAAAGATTCAAATTAAATTTCTGATTAATTTTTGAGATTTACTAAGTTGCACATACTGCATATAATATACCTATTTCATGAGGTAATTCGTGGCAAAATACAGCTATTGCTGTGGAAAAGCCACCCGCTAAATTCGCTGAAAAAGCAGCACCTATAGCCATACCATCTGTAAAGTTATGCAAACCATCACCCATTACTACCATCCAAGCAACACTTGACATAGATTCTGGTGCAGAATGAACATGACCTAAAAAATGTTTAAACAGTAATAGTTATTAATAATAACGGAAATAAAATAGTACATTGCATTAAATAATTCAAAAGTACCATGTGAATGAGTATGACCATGGTGTTTCGTTTCATGTTCACGTATAATAACTGTATAACTTTCTGATTCGTTTAATGGTATATCTGCACCATCCGTATTTTTCTTAGTATTTACAATTGAATCCTCTAATCTCCAGTCTTCTGGCTTCTTTTCTACATCATTCGTCATTATTTTTGAAACTGAATTACAATTTGACGTCAAAGGCTTTTCTTCTTCAATCACAGGAGGCCGTTCGTGATTATTATGTTGACGATTGTGATGAATATCTGAATAATAAACATCCATTTAATAATAGGTTAAAATCTCGTTAATGATTCGTTAAAATTCTAATTAAGTCACTGCATTTTACCTTGAACATCTGAGCTAATTTCACCATAACAATATGGATATGATGAATATTTATGCTTGCAAAGTTTCTCTCCAACAACATTACTGTTTGGTCCATCAGTTTCTCTCATTACTCTAACACGCGGGGGCAGCTAAAATTGCGAAGATTTCTTTTACTTAAAAAAAATATGTACATTATATAAATATGTACTATAAATTTATATACTTTTACTAAAATTAATACTTCTTTTTTATTTTAAATGTGATAGTTACTTTATTACGGCGTTGTCGAAGTTTTCTCCATTCCGCTAACATCGTTAGAGCTTTCTCCGTAAAAAAAAATAGCGCAAGACCCATCATTGCAACTAACCCTTTCCACATATTCGTGTTATGTTGTTCTTTATGATCTGCTTCTGCATGATCATCATCATCATGATAAGTATGATCGTGATTGTGATCATGCGGCATCATGGCCTAGGAAAAACATAATATTATATTAGGATGTAATTTACTTTCCTTGCTAAAAATTATATTTTTAATGTAACATCTTACATGTGGTAAAAGATGAATAAGAGCATCTCCACATAATGTTCCTACAGCAAGAGCCACTAGAAATTGTAATAGTTGGTGGTAATAAATTTTACCCATGCAAGGTATAACAGCTACACCAAGTAAACCACATAGACTGATTATTACAATACTGATTGTTGAATAGGCCCACACTAAATAGAAAAATCAAATACTCAGAAGTGTACTATATTAAAAATATGAAATGTTTGTTAATATAATTGTATACCTTGAACCATATTGCGTGTCATATCATCCTCTAAATATTTATTAACTGCTATTGGCTTATAATTCTCTGGTACACGAATACATCCATTTCTCTCTGAACTTGATTCACCTGCTAGTTGGTAAACAAGAGCTGGACACACGCGTTCAAAAAGCCCACTTGGTAATGTGGAATTATTATTAATAATCATATTGTATGGCATATCTCTTGCAACAGTACTTAACAATTCTTTACTACTTAAGCACTGAAATAGTGTGGAGA